GGGCCGTCTTGAGGCCATCTTGCAGCGCCTCTTGGCAGTTTTGGGCCGTCTCGGAGGCATCTTGAACCTACTTGGAGACCTCTTGGGCCATCTTGGGCCGATTGGATTGTGACCAGGTCCCTCCTGGATACCCTCTTGGAGCAATATTATTTGGAGAAACTCTTGAAGACGCTCCTTTCCGAGAATTTCCAGTGGCCAGCGGGACGGGCCGAAGACCAACGGGACCCTGTTGGAACGGCCTGACAGCATTCATAGATCTGGCACGCCAACCATCTTTCACCAGGCCACGGGGGCGACGGACCAGGTGGCTTTCGGCCCATCCCGCCACCGCCGTGCCTGGATCATGGACAAGATACCTCGTGAATGCATGCTTGTTTGGAGCCTTGGAGCCTCCTGGGGGCCTCGCGGCCTCTTGGGGACTTGCTGAAGGCCTCTTGATGGCCTCTGGGGTCTAAGGGCGTCTTGGGCGCGTGCTTGCCGTCTCGAGGGCCTTCTTGGATTGGAGGGCTCTTGATGCCAGTTCGAGTTTTCCCTCTTGTGGCAGTCTTTTGGGGCCCGGGTGGCGTTGTGTGGCGATCTTGTGGGCCTCTGAGGTCGCCCTTGACGCACTTCAGACCGAAGAGGCGAGTGTGCGGACATCACTCAATAGCGTAATTGTGCCCTCTTGGGTTGGCCCCGATGGCCCCGATGCTCTGCGTTGAGGACCCGAAGGGTTCCGAGGGCACTCCACTCGGTGCCACCGGCGCGGAGGCGGACTTGTTTTTACGTGCACGCGGTTCCTCTTTCATCCTCCTTCCTCTTCTGGCCTGGTACGGGCTGGCCTTGCTGGGCATTGTCCTGGGTGGTCTCACCAGCTCGGTCGGCGCTTGTGAGGTCTGGTCCGGGATGCTGAGACAAGGACCGCTTCAGGTTGAGGAGGGGCTATGTCGGCAGAATCATGGGAGCCTGGTATACCCTCTTAATTCCGTCTTTAGTGTCGATTCGCGTCGATTCGCGTCGATTAGCGTCTGGGAGTCGTTAACGTCGATTTGCGTCGATTCAGCGTCGATTCGTGTCGATTTAGCGTCGATTCGCAAGAGCCGAGAAGATGGTGTGGGAGGCTCCCATGAGTTGCCACCGAAGGCTGTGATTCTCAGGGCGTTCCTCAGGTCTGGGTCGGGAAGCCTCTATTTGTGGCTTGGGCTCTCGGTGGCCAGAAGACGCCCCCTCGGTCCTCGTGCTCCTTCTCCTCCTCCTCCTTCCCTCCCCTCCTCCTCCTCCTCCTCCTCCTCCTCCTCCTCTTCCCGCTCAGCCACCTACTGTGACTGTATTTGATGCGATCTACTATGCCAGGTTCGAATCGAGAAAGCATGGCCCCCCACAGTTGCGGATCAGAGCGAGGGGGTGAGGGGGCCGTCGGCAGCCTGCGAGGCCCGAGGCTGAACGCAGGCGCGGATGTTTCCACACATCATACCACGGGCTCGCCGCAGGACCATTCTTTTGTGAAAGCACTGGGTGGGTCGCGGGTGGGTCGCGGGTGGGTAGTGCACGGGTCGCGGGCGGGTTGCGGTCGGATCGCCGTTGGGTCGTGGGTCGGTCGCGAGGGAGTCGCGGGTGGGTCGTTGGGTTGGTCGCGGGTGGGTCGCGGGTGGTTCGCGGGTGGGTAGTGCATGGGTCGCGGGCGGGTCGCGGTCCGATTGGTCGTGGGTCGGTCGCGAGGGGGTCGCGAGTGGGTCGTTGGGTTGGCCGTGGGTGGGTCGCGGGTGGGTCCGCAGGTGGGTCGCAGTGTGGGTCGTGGGCGGGTCGTGGGTGAGGGCGAACAACAAGACCCTGTTTTTTTGTCCTCTCGCGATGCGGCCGTTGCTGGGGTGGGGGGGGCGGTAGCGTAACGATTCGCGCTGGCGCCGTCTGGGCATTAGCTTCTCCTAGCCGCTCCCAGACGGCGCTGGCTCGAATCGCGACGCTGCCGAGTGAGGAGGGGGGGGCGTCAACGGGCGTTATCGGGAATCGGGAATCCTACCCACTTCAGCCACGCACCTAGAGACGTTGTAGGACCGTTCGGCCCCCCTCACTCTGACCAGAGAAGAGAGAGAGAGAGAGAGAGAGAGAGAGAGAACGACAACAGCAAAAGAGAGAGAGAGAGAGAAGCAGAGAGGGAGAGAGAGAGAGAGAGAGCGGACTATATATATATACATATATATATATATGAATATGTACACATATATATATATGTATATCTATATCTATATATATATATATAGAGAGAGAGAAAAAAACAGCGGGAGATATGCAACGAACAGTGGTCAGGCTGAGGGTATCAGTGGCTTCTACAGTTTTGGTAGCGTTTTCGGGGCACGAGCCTGGCGGAAACATTTACCCTATTTGGGGCTAATTACGATCTTCGCTTATCGACGTCCTCGGCCTTAGGGATCAATAAGAGCTCCCTTGCATCGGTTGCGTTTTTCCAAGTTGGGACCCCGGGAGGGGACACCCCCTCCTCTCAGGGACTTCATGATAGGGGATACTTAGCTTACTTAGGCGTCCGCTTTTGCCCACCACCGTGGGGGCCACTCGTACTTCGCCCGACCACATGCTATATGATGCTAGAGCGGCAGTCGCAGCTTAAGATCCTAAGCATCCACTTCGGTAGGCTGGTAGTGGCGGATGGGCCGTTCGAGTGACCGCTGGAGCGCGGGCATCGCGCTGGCAGTATGCAGATCAGTGTGGGCAGAGAGCAAGAGTGAAAGTGATCGGGTGTCAGCTCACAGAGGGGTGACGGGATGATCTGATAATCAAGGAGGCCTCGTTATGACCCCTTCACGCATCGGATCAGGCGATGCCTAGCTGACCGCTTCGCGTGGCAATTCTGGGCACACCTGGCTCGCCTCGAAAGTGCTGTCGGTGAGTCTTTGCAAGACCAGGAGCGCAGCGACGGGGAGAAGTCGACGCGGGCGCAGGCTTTGCTACACGAGCGGAACAACGGCGGACCCCAAGGACGGGGACTGGTGGGTGGGAGGGAATATCGGAGAGAATCTCATGAGGAGGATAAGGGGAGAAGATGGGGTGGGGAAGAGATGCAAGACGAGTTTGAATCGGGAATGTATGAGCAGAAGACGGGAGGGGAGGAATATTTATATTGATGGAGGATGGAGTGTTCCGATGCGTGGTAGCGAAGATTGCAACGAGTGGTGTGTTACCGATGAGCAAATGCGAGAATTGCGAACGTATCTGGTGGGAAGCCTATCAGGGGCCATGGGCTTGCGCAAGGAGTGGTGGAACGGCATCAAGTGGTGAGAAAGGCAGTCGTGAGGGCGCTCACAGGAAATTTGACAACTGGTCATTCTTGGGAAGCCAGAAAGGGAGACGGAGGGTGTCGTGCTTCACCACCGCGGCATGTATTTGGGCTCCATGAACGGGGCGATCACGTGGAGCATGCCGCAGCACCCAGGAGCCTTTTCCTGCTCTGTGCCCTTCCTCCTCCTTTTTTCCTGCCTCCCTGTCCATCCCTCCGCCGTCCATCTACTCCCTCCCCGTCCTCTTCCCTCGTCCCCTTTTTCCCTTCCCTCCCTGTCCTCCTCGCAGTGACGATCGCTGGACGCTCTGGACATTCTGCAGACGGACCCCCTATCAGATAAGAACAGGTGGTTCCCTCTGTTTCCTTCGCCTCTCGTCCTTCCTCGGTGTCTTGCGCTTCGGCAGTGAGAACGCTCTCGTCGACCGAGCGCTGCGCTTCTGCTGCCGCCCCTGTCTGCTGGTCTTTCCCTGCCGGCTCCTCTGCACTCTCCTCGCCGCCGCTTGCCGCTGGCCGTCGCCCGCTTGCTTCCCTCGCCGCTGGCTGCCGCCGCTCGCCGCTGCCGTGCGCTGCGTGCTGCTGCCTGCCGCTGCCGCACCTGCCCGTTGCGTCTGCTCCGCCAGGCCGCGCGCCGTGCGGTCGCCGCCGGCCGTCGTCGGCTCCGGCCAGGCCGCTGCCTGCCGGCCTGCTCGCGCCGGGGCTGCCCGCGGCCTGCCGCCCGCCGTGCCGCGGGCCGCTCCGTGCTCGTCCGCGGGCGTCTGCTGCTGATGACGATGACGGTGACGATGACGATGACGATGATGATGATGATGATGATGATGATGATGATGATGATGATGATGATGATGATGATGATGCTGATGCTGATGATGATGAGGATGATGATGATGATGATGGGTATGATGCTGGTGATGATGATGGGTATGATGATGATAATGGTGGTGATGATGATGATTGGGTTGCTGCTGCTGCTGATGATGCTGCTGATTATGATGATGTTGCTGATGCTGACGATGACCATGGCGATTCTAATGACGATATGATGATGATGATGCTGCTGACGATTCTGATGATAACAATGATGGTGATGATGCTAATGATGATGCTGAGTATGATGATGCTGCATATGATGATGATGATGATGATGAGGATGATGATGATGCTGATGATGATTATGATGATGATGCTGATTGTGATGACGATTTTGATGATGATGATGATGATGATGATCACCATGATGATGCTGCTGATGATGACGACGCTGACGATTCTGATGATTATGATGATGAAGGATGATGTTAATGATGATGCTGACGATGAGGATGATGATTCTGATGCTGGGGATGATGATAATGCTGATGATGCTGATGATAATGCTGATGCTGATGGTGATGCTGTTGCTGCTGCTGTCGATGACAATGACGATGACGATCTGATGGTAAAGATGATAATGCTGAATCTGAAGCTGATGATGATGATGATGATGATGGTGATGATAGTGACGACGGCGATGACAATGACCGTAGCGATGATGATGATGATGCTGGTAATGATGATGATGATGATGATGATGATGATGATGATGATGATGGTGGTGGTGGTGGTGGTGATGATGATGATGATGATGGTGATGATGATGATGACGATGATGATGATGATGACTATGATGTTGCTGATGCTGATGCTTCTGCTGCTGCGGATGCTGATGCTGATGCTGATGCTGATGTTGATGATGGTGATGATGATGAGGAGGATGACGACGACGATGATGGTGATGATGATGATGCTGATGATGATGGTGATGATGATGATGATGATGATGATGATGAGGATGAGGATGAGGATGATGAGCATTGGTAATAGCATTGCCATCGTCATCGTAATCATCGTCATCGTCATTGTCCTTTTCCCCGCCCGCCGTGTGGGTGCGCGTCGCTGCCCCCTGCGTGCGCGTGTGTGTGTGTGTGTGTGTGTGTGTGTCTGTGTGTGTGTCTGTGTCTGTGTCTGTGTCTGTGTCTGTGTCTGTGTCTGTGTCTGTGTCTGTGTCTGTGTCTGTGTCTGTGTGTCTGTGTGTCTGTGTGTCTGTCTGTCTGTCTGTCTGTCTGTCTGTCTGTCTGTCGGTCGGTCTGTCTGTCTGTATGTCTGTGTGTCTGTGTGTCTGTGTGTCTGTGTGTCTGTGAGCCTGCGCGCTTTGCTTCTGCACCGCCGTGTGCGCTCGCGGGTGTGCCGCCCGAGGGCGTCCACTGCCGGCCGCCTGTGCGTGGGGAAACCAGAAGGCAGCGACACTGCTGCTCCCCGTCCGAGGCGGGAATTTATCCATATCCACCGCCTGGAGGGTCAGTTTTCGGAGACTCGGCAGGCGGTGGATATGGACATATTCGGGCCCCCGGGGGCCGAAATGTTTTCATATCCACCGCCCGCTGGGGCACCAGGACGTCGGTTCCCAGGCGGTGGATATGGATGAATCCCCGCCTCGCATGCCCGGGCCTCTCCCGGGGTGCACTCTGACCAGAGTTTCGAGGCGAGTCCAGGCCCCCCAGGAGTGGCAAGAAGGGGGGCACGGAGGGCATGGTAGCGGCATGGGTACCTCTGCCTCCTGGTGCGTGCCTGCGCCTGGCGCCATCGAGCGGGCGGCGCCGCGCGCGATCGGCCGGCGACGCGTCGCGCGGGCCCTCCGAGGATGCCCGCGGCCCGCTGCGTGGGCGCGCGCCGCAGGCCCTGCGCGTGCCTGCGTGCCTGCGCTGCCGAGCCGCCGAGTGCGTGCGTGGCGCGGCCCCTCGTGCGGGGCCCCCGCGGCACCCCGCCCGGCGGCGAGGTCCGAGCCCCAACCAAAGACTCAAACTTGTGCGACATCAAGCTCTCGCGACGCGTTTCGGGAGCAGCTGGCCCGGTCGGGCGTGCTTCCGTCGAGGGATCTCCCTCTCGTAGAGGAAAAAAAACTATGCACATGCACCGATTCTGGCCAGGCCCATCCTGAGCCCAGGATCGGTGCATACGCCCTCCTACCTTGGCCAGGAAGGCATATGCACCGATCCTGGGTCAAAGATGGGCCTTGCCAGGATCGGTGCATGTGCATAATTCTCTTCGCCCTATCTCGACACCCTGAGCCACGGATGCGTACGGACGGACACAGATCGCGCTGCTCACGTTACGCATGCCCTGCAGCGCTGTACTCTCTTGGCAACAAAGGAAAAAGAAAGACCCACCTACCTATCCCGAACACCACCTGTGCACTCTGTGGACAAGGTGCTGGCTGCCGTTGCGCCATGCAATTCTGCGCCCGCGAAATTCGAACCCACTCTGGGTTTCTTGATAAGCGTGGGGGGGTACCCCCCCGACGGGGGTCAACCTCGCCTCGTCATCGCGCCGCGACGGATATCGGAGCGCCTTCGGCGCGCGGTGGCTGCCCGCGACGGGGGTCGATGTGGGGCTGTCGGCGGGGGTGATGCCCCCCCGACGCTTACATATTAAGAGACTCGGAGTACCCTCGCCGATCAACGGTGGCGGGGGCATGGTTCGGAGTTCGTCGAACACGTGGCGAAGTCCGAGCCCTACCTCCGTCTCCCATCGATTCAGGAGAAGCGATGCTTGGTGGGGGTAGGGTTTCGGATGTCGCCACCTATCCATCCCCATCCCCATCCCCATCCAGACCCCCACCATCTCACCCCGCAGTTGGGGACATACCCCTCGAAACCTGAAGGGAACAGTCTATATCCCTTATCTAGGGGTGGAAATCGGCCAGTGGGGCCCAGGCCACGCCGTTGGGAATCGGGGTAGGATAAACGATGTTCAAAACATTCCACGGCCTGCCGAATTGCCAATGGCGCGGGCCAGTCGCGCGCGCGCCTGAATGTTTTCAAGCATCGTCCTGGGTGTGCTCAGGTCCTTTGCCCGTCCGTCGCGGCCCGCCGCATGGGTCCTGGACCTTTCGGGGGCGGGGCGTGTCAATGGTGATGATGATGCTGCAGATGATGCTGATGATGATGATGAGGATGATGATGAGGATGATGATGATGAGGATGAGGATGATGATGATGATGATGGTGGTGGTGGTGGTGGTGATGATGATGATGATGATGATGATGCTGCTGATGATGATGATGATGATGATGCTGATTCTGTTTCTCTTGATGCCCCTGCCCAGCCTTCGTGCTGTGTGTGGGTGTCCTTCTCGCGTGTTCTTGCCAAGCGTGCGTGTACCCCCTGCGGCTGCACTACTCAGTCTGCGGCACGCCTACTCTGATGCATCTTGGATTCGGTGGCAAATCATGGGGGCCTTGTATACCCTCGTAATTCAGTCTTCAGCGTCGACTAGCGTCGATTAGCGTCTGGGAGTCGATGCGATAGCGCCGATTTGGCGTCGGTCATCGTCGGGTAGCGTCGATTAGCGTCGACTTAGCATCGACTAGCGTCGACTAGCGACGACTGGCGTCGAATCGCAAGAGCCGACAAAAGGGCATGGGAGGCTCCCATGAGTTGCCACCGAAATTCTGCGGGTTGCCATAGAAGGGGCGCGCGCAGATTCCGGAGGAGGATGGCGGGAGCAGTCGCCGCTCCCTTTCCTGCAGTGCAGGTCTGGCCCGCTGACGCTGGCCCTGACGACACACATGCGCGTCCCGTGTCCCCGACCGCGGCGGACCTGCGCGTCCTGTGTCTCTGGTTGTTTTGGCCCCCGCCCCACCAACCTACACCTTGCCCTTTTCCTCCTCCTTGTCTTCTCCTCCTCCTCGCTCTCGTCGTCGTCGTCGTCGTCGTCGTCGTCGTCGCCGTCGTCGTCGTCATCGTCGTCCTCCTCCTCCTCCTCCTCCTCCTCCTCCTCCTTCTCCTCCCCCCATTAAAAATCGAAGAGCCTGCCACCTCGAGTTGGAGTTCGAGAGTGGGTTCCGCCGCCAGAGTTTCAGTTTTCGAGCCTAGCTGGGCCCCCCGCCGTTTGCGGGCTCCCCCTGACTGTAAATTCTCGGCCCGTCTCGGAGGTTTGCTGGCAGCGCTCTCTAGCAAACAACTCCTCCTCCAATCCTTTTCAGCATAGATAACTCCTCCCTGTCGCGCCCCGAGGCCGGTCGAAGGTGCGGGCCAGGCCATTTGCCTGAGATTTCCTCACAATTGATGACCCTGAAGTTTAAACATTGGCAACAATTTCATACATGGAGGGCGGGTGGTTTTCAAAACGTGGCTCTCGCCTGAGCGCCGCGCACATTCTTTTTTTAACGAGTTGCAAGAGTTTCACGTATTCAGTGCGGGTGGTTTCAAAATGTGGCTCTCGCTCTAGCGCGCGCACATTCGTTTCAAACATTTGCAAGAGTTTGACCGATTAAGGGCGAGTGGTTTTCAAAACGTGGCTCTCGCCCTAGCGCTGCTCACATTCGTTTCACACATTTGCAAGAGTTTCACAGATCTAAGGCGGGCCGTTTTCAAAATGCGGCTCCCGCCCCAGCACCGTGCAAGAGTTTGACGGCTTGAGGGCGGTTCGTTTCCAAAATGCGGTTCTCGCCCTAGCGCTGCGCACATTCGTGTTATGAAATTGCAAGAGTTTCGTGGATTCCCATAGGCAACATACCAGAAATTGTGTTTTGGAGGGATTCAGGATTGTGAGGGTGCAACAGTTACGTTGATTCGCGATGCTGGAGTCCCAGGAATTCTTCACGCTTCGCGTATCCCCACCAGCCCATCTCAAAACAGCAACTCTTGCGAAGCATGCCGACAGTCGTGTTTTTCAGGCGTGTTTCCGCCTGCCCCCGCATATCTCCCCTGTTCCTCCTTCCTCCCGCCTCCTTGTACATCCTCCTTGTGGTGGGAGCGGGAGAAGGACGAGGCGGAGGAGGAGGGAGAGAAAGCGGTGGGAGGCAAGAGGGATTTAGCGGAGACGACGACCACAGCGATGATCCTAACAACGACGACGCACCCGACGACGACGACGATATCGACCGCGACGACGACGACGACCACAACCGCGACGACGACGACGACGACGACGTCGACGACGACGACGACGAAGGCGGCGGCGACGACGACGACGACGACGACGACGACGACGACGACGACGACTGGTGGGAGTCGTTGGGGCCCCTCGTGGGGTGAGTCGTTCGGCCCCATCGTCCTTGTGTGAGTCCTTCGGGCCCCTCTTCCTGGTGTGAGTCGTTCGGGCTCCTCGTGGTGTGAGTCGTTCGGGCCCCTCGTCCTGGTGTGAGCCGTTCGGGCTCCTCGTGGTTTGAGTCGTTCGGGCCTCTCGTCCTGGTGTGAGTCGTTCGGGCCCTTCTTCCTGGTGTGAGTCGTTCGGGCTCTTCGTGGTTTGAGTCGTTCGGGCTCTTCGTCCTGGTGTGAGTCGTTCGGGCTTCTCGTGGTGTGAGTTGTTCGGGCCCCTCGTCCTGGTGTGAGTCGTTCGGGCCCCTCCTCCTGGTGTGAGTCGTTCGGGCTCCTCGTGGTGTGAGTCGTTCGGGGCCCTCGTCCTGGTGTGAGTCGTTCGGGCTCCTCGTGGTGTGAGTCGTTCGGGCGCCTCGTCCTGGTGTGAGTCGTTCGGGCCCCTCCTCCTGGTGTGAGTCGTTCGGGCTCTTCGTGGTGTGAGTCGTTCGGGCCCCTCGTCCTGGTGTGAGGAGGCCTCTTGGAGATCGTAGAGGGGCCTCTTGGGGTCTCTTTTGAGCCTCTTGGGAGCGTCCGGGGGCCCTCTTGGGCGCCTCTTGGAGCGTCTTGGGGGCCTGTTGGGGCCATCTTTGGGGCGATCGATCACAGATGGGGCGAGCATTTTTGTCAGTACCCCCGTCGGGGCCACGATCCTCGTGAGGGGTGTCGAATTTTAGCCCTCCCAGGGATAGAAAAAGGACCCTCTGACCACCCGCGAAACCCCCTCTCCAGGTCCAGGGGGAGGGGGTAGGGGGAGGGGTAAACCCCTCCCCGAAGGGGAAGAAGGGGGGTTGAGAACAGAGAGAGCTCGCTAAACCACTCACGCCCAAAGGGCTGGTGGGATTCTGTTCTGGCACGATTGAGGATCGTCAAGACGCAACAGTCAGGTTGATCCGTGGCGTTGGAATCCTGAGAGGGGTGTTTGGGCATGCTGCAGGGTCTTCAAATGGTTGTGTCCCAACGGGGCAGTTCCCTCAGTGGACATGGACCCTTGTAGGGGCCCATGAATAGGGAGCCTGGAGGGAGGGCTTATTCCATCATCGCGGATGCGTCTTGGGTCTACGCTGGTCCTACTCCTCCTCTTCCTCCTCCTCCTGCTTTCCTCCTCCTCCTGGGTCGAGCGACGCAGGCCTCCTCCTGCTTTCCTCCTCCTCCTCCTCCTCCCTCCTCCGCTTCCTCCTCCTCCTTCTCCTCCTCCTCCTCCTCCTCCTCCTCCTCCTCCTCTCTTTCTCTCTGTCGCTCTCGACCCCCCCTCCCAAAGTGTACCTCTGGACGCTGCCCATGTTCCACTGCTGCGGCTGGTGCTTCCCGTGGACGGTGGCGGCCCTCGCCGGCACCCACGTCTGCCTGCGGAAGGCGGGCGCGGACCTCACTCGGCGAGGAGGAGGAGGAGGAGGAGGAGGAGGAGGAGGAGGGGGAGGAGGAGGAGGAGGAGGAGGAGGAGGAGGCCCCCTCCCAGGGGGCAGGGCGGCGGGACGGGCAGGGGCCGGCGGCGCGCGCCGAGGGGAGAGGCGAGGGGGAGGCCGCTCCCTTCGCAGATGGGGCGGCGGGGAACTTCGGACAGCCCTCCGGCCTCCGGCTGGAGCCCTCGGCGGCCGTGGCGTGCGGCCCACACCGCCACGTTTGCCCAGGTCGTGGGCGAGAGGCCTCCTCGGAGGCTGCTCGGGGAGGCTCCTGGGGATCTCGCGGGAGCCTCCCCCAGGAGGGGGTAGGGAGGGCTCCTTGGCCCTTTCGAGGTCCGCCTCCTGGGCCTCGTCTGGGGCCCTCTGGGGGGCATCTGGGACCCCGCTTTGTTGTGAGGAAAATCCTGGAGGCCTCGCGCTGCGCGTAATAGTAGTATCACCACCCACCAAGCCACCCCAACCCAACCCGAAGGCCTCAATTTGACCTCCATTTCCAGTGGGGGGGGGTCGGGGAACATCGAGAAAACACATGTGGAGTCCATACCCCCCCCAACCCGAAATGCGGGTCTTCGGGTTGGGTTTGGGTGGTCATAGCATGATCTAGTCCACTTGTCAGTTCCGTGAGCTATGGGTCGACGCTCGCGCGGCGACGCTCCGGAGTCAGTCCGACGTAAATCCGACGCAGCCCGACGTGAACCCGACGTAAATCCGACGTGGATCCGACGCAAGTCGGATCTCAAGTTGCCGCGCGAGGCCTCCTTGATTTTCTTCATAATCTTTGGGGCTTCGTGGTTCCCGCTTTGGGGGTTGCTGCTCCCTTGTTTCCGAAGCGGCAGAGTGGTCAGTGCGTTTTTTGTTTTGTTTTCGGTTTGTTGTCTTGAAGACTGCAAGTGGACATATTTTTCCAGCTCGTTTCAGCATCACGATTGATAATACCTCTGGCTCATGTGGTTCGGTTCAGATCTTGGCGAGCATGATGAAATATCCTTCAGGACTTCGCCCCCTGCCGCCGGCCCCCTCTTCTCGGAGAATGGGGTATACAAGGGCTACGTTGTGAGGCCTCGGCGCCGTCGTGAAGCAGCGTCGGAACTCCGAACGGGGGCTATTGAAGATATGAGCGTGCCCAAATCCATCAACAACCTTATGAACATCGGAGATGTGGGTCTTTTGGGCCCCTCTTGGGGGTGCTCTTGGAGCGCTCTTGGGGCCTCTTGGGAACCTCTTGGGCCGTCTTGGGACCATCTCGGGCGTCTTGGAGCACTCTTGGGCCGTCTCGGAGGCCTCTTGTACTGTCTAGGTGGCCTTTTATAAAGGATTGTGGTTTTGAAAGCGCGATTCCTGCGTACCTTACGAGGGTTTACGACTTCGGGGATGTGAAGAACGCATCATTTGAGGCATCGTGGCTTCGGGGACGCAGACATGGCGTACTTTACGAGAGACCATTGCCTCGGAGACGCGAATGTTGTACACTTTGATTCGGAATTGTCTCGGGGGCGCAAACACAGTAATTTGTGAGGGCTTCTGGCTTCGGGAACGCGAATTTTGTATAGTTTACAAAGGATTGCGGCCTCGGGGGCGCGAACATGGAGTCATTTACTCGGGATCGTGGCTTTGGTGGCGCGAATCGTCATATTTTTAGGTGTCCTAGGGCCCCCCCATAGATTCTGAGAACCCCCCCAGGTGGTGGTAACCAGGGCTCTTTTCGGCTCCCGCCTCGCGCGGACTTCAACAATTTACAGTTGGAAGCAGAAAGCAGGATTGTAAGCATGGGAGATTTGAAACTGGAACTGGGGCAGGGAGCAGCAAGCCTAACCCGCGGAGCCTGGTGGCCCCAAAAGGGGGCCGGTGGAGAAGCTGTCGTAAGCGCACTGTTCCGAAACGAAGCTCGAAGACGGAACATAAACGGCGCCACCAGGGAACGGAAACGAACAAAAACACCGCTGCTGTAAACGGCGCCCGCAAGAATTTCCCAAGACGGCCCCCGAAACGAACAAAGACGGGCACGCGAGAGCAGGATAGGGCGGCGGCGGCATTCCCCTCAGTCGCTGTCGGAGGAGGCACCAGGCGGAGGAGGCGCTGCCGTCTTCGACGGGCACGGGCTCGGCCCCGTCTACGCCCTGATCTGCATCCGTTCCTCTTCCTCTCCGCTTCCTACGCTTTGTTTGCTGATCCCGAGCAGTCGGGCCCTGCTGGCTAGCACCCTTGACTGAGACGGCTGCGCTGGTGGGGGTGGAGCTCCAGGAGAGATTTTTTTGGGGCGGGTTGCACGTGAGCTGACACCGGACCGGAAACGTATTGAAAACGGAAAACACCGAGCGGGCGGGCTAGGGGAGCAACGGGAAATTGAAAATAGGGCACAATGTTGTTTCAATCCCCCACGCAGCCGTCTCAGTCAACGGTGCTAGCCAGCAGGGGCCGTGCGTTCGGGATGGCAGCGCTAACCAAGCCTAGCGTGCCCGGACGGGCCGCCCGAGCCTGTGCCCGTCGAACATTGCAGCGCCTCTTCTGCTTTGGGCGCCTCCTCCGACGGCGACTGAGGGATGCAAGGGGCCCTTAGCTTGGGTGCGCGAGATGACAGACCATCTCTGAGGGAGAGACGGAAAGAAAAGGAAACAAAACGACACATTAAAAACGAATCAAAACGAGTCGGAAACGGCAACGATGACCAGAAACATGATTATTGCTAATTCCCGCGGAAACGGAAATATAACGGAACCGAAAACATAATATAACATGTAATCCCCAAAAGGAAACAACAAACGCCCTGATCACTGTGAGAGGCATCTAAGGGTGATTGGTGTTCTGGGGGCCCACCCCGGGGCGATCTTGGCGTGCCCTGGAGCTGTCTTGAACGCTCTTAGAGGCGACAGGGCGCTGACACGTGAGTCATCAGCACGCGCTCCGGCCCGTCAGTTCCTTCCACTCCGCCGTGCACACCTCCGGCGAGCGGGGTCTCCTTCCCTGCGCCCCCCTCGCCTCCCGCCGCCGCGCGCCTGCTTCTGGTGCCTCAATTCGGAAGCGCCCGTCCGTCGCTCGAGCGCTGCTTGAGTCCAGCGGCCGCGGGACAGAAACCGCAGGTCATCAGGCAACTGCAGGGTCTGGGACAAAGTTTGGCCTCCTTGGGCCGGTCTCCAGAGGCCCGAAGACTGCCCAGGAGTTGTGGGGGACGATCGATGGAGAGGCATTTTGCCGAATAATTTCCAGATGTCTAAAACATGTGTTTATTAAGCATGTAAAACACATTTTAAAACATGTTTAGAACATTTTCCTACATTTTAAACACATGTCTAATTCGATGATAGGACTGTTAGGGTGTCCATTGTCGTGGCATCCACATCCCAAGAGACTCGAAGATGTCCCCAAAGGGGCCCTTGGCATCACCTTCGGGCATGTTGAGGGTTTGGGCTCCGAAGCACGCTGCCGCTGCCGCGGGGAACATTATTCGACCGTCTCCGGGAGCGCCCAGGGGACCCGTCAGTTGGGGGTCTGGGGTCCTAACGCAAACATTCGTTGGCAGTCTTCCGTACTGAGGATTATCGAGGATTTGGGGCGCTCTATTGTTGTTGTTGTTGTGCAGTTGTTATGCGGTGGGGGCCCTCCTGTTTCGTTTCGAACAGCTGCCAATATTGACCCACCTTGGGCACATTTTCCGCAGATCGGACCACGAGACTTGGACCATGGTTTGGTGGATCCGTGGACGGTGAAGTTCCGTGGGAGGCTTGCATGAGTGCGAACGAATGTGTCCATAATTCTAATCAGGTCCACATTGTGATTCAGATAATTGCGTTTTTGGCGCATTCGATCGCGAAGTCGTTCGTTCAAGCTCCTTTCTCAGTTCTTTACGTTGCTCATTCCTCGTAGGAGGGAGAGGTGGCGGGATTCATGCAGCTCTGCCTTGATGTACAATCGTCTCAGCCTTATCCTCCCCTCTCTTCTTCATCCCGGCTTCTTTACATTGCTCATTCCTCGCAGGGAAGGGCCGTGATTCTTTCACCCCTGCCTTCATGTACCTTCGTCTAAGCCTCATCTTTTCTCTTCTCTTCTGCCCCCTTCTGCCTTAAGCCTGCATCAAGCAAGCTCCTTCGTCGAAGACTCCCAGTCGTACTCCTCATGTAGTTGGCGCTCTCTCGAGTCCTGCGTCTCCGGTGCCATCCGCTTGCTGCTCCTTTGCGCCATCTCGGCGGCGGAAGGTCGAGGCCGCGAAGATCTTCCAGCTTATTCAGGAGCCCAGCCCCTCCAGTCTGCTGCGAGGAGCATTTGAGTGGTTGGGCATTTGGTTTCCGATTGCGGCCGCCGTTTGGGGCCTATGTTCGGCCTCGGGGACGAAAGACGGTGCGGGTAGCTCTGGGTCGCCTTTGGCCCGGGGGGCGCCCAGGGACCCAGCGTGCCTTGCCATTCCCTCATGTATCCAGGTGCCTGTGGCAAGTACCGCCACCGTGCCTGCACAGCATTCAGGGTGGCGACTGTTCGAGGGGGCACGGAAGGCTGTCACGAGTGACACCTCGTGTCTCCAGGCTTGGTAGAGCCGTGATGAGGATGATGAGGATGATTAGGATCATGAGAATGATTCGGAGGATGGGGATGATTGGGGTGATGAATGATGGTGATGATGATGAGGATGAAGCTGATGATGATGCTGATGATGCAAATGACGATGACGATGATGATGACGATGCTGATGATGATGATGGTGATGATGATGATGATGTTGATGGTGCCGATCATGATGATTGGGATGGTGATGGTGATGATGATGGTGATGGTGATGGCGATGACGATGGTGATGGTGATGGTGATGGTGATGATCATGCTTGTGATGATTTTGATGATGCTGATGTGATGATGGTGACAATGATGATCATGGTTATGATGATGATGCTGCTGCTGCTGATCATGATGATGTTGATGCTTATGCTGATGCTGATGATGATGATGATGATGATGATGACGAGGTTGATGATGATGATGATGCTGATGGTGATGTTGATGATGCTGATGATGATGCTGATGATGCTGATGCTGTTTCTGACGATGCTGATGTGATACTGTTCACGATGATGATTACGAGGATAATGATGTTGATGATGATGGTTATTATGATGATCATGATGATGATTATGCTGATGACGATGATGCTGCTTATGATGATGACGATGATGCTGACGTTGACGTACCTGCTGCTTCTGATGATGATGACGAGGCTGATGTTGATGATGCCGATGCTAATGCTGGCGATGATGATGCTGATGATGATTATGCTGATGATGATGATGATGATGATGATGATGATGATGATGATGATGATGATGAGGATGCTGATAATGATGCTGATGATGCTGATGATGCTGATGCTGCTGTTGTTGATGCCATTATTGATTTCGACGATTCTGAATATTTGACGCTGCTGCTGATGATGATGATGCTGATGATGACTAAGCTGATGCTGATGATGTTGAACATTATGCTGATGATGATGGTGATGCTGCTGACGATGATGACGATGATGCGGATGCGGATGCTGATGTTAATGTTGAAAATACTGAACATGATGCTGATTATGATTATGTTGATGCTGCTGCTGATGATGATGCTGATGATGCTGCTGCTGATGATGAGGATGCTGCTGCTGCTGCTGATGATGATTATGATAATGCCGATGCTGATGACGATGGTGCTGAGGATGAGGATGAGGATGACTATGATGATGAGGATCAGGATGATGATGATGATGATGATGATGATGATGATGATGATGATGATGATGATGATGATGATGATGATGATGATGATGATGATAATCATCATGAGGATGATGATGATGCTGATGATGATGATGCTGATGATGAGGATGATGCTGATTTTGATGATGATGCTGATTATGATGATGCTGATGATGATGGTGGTGGTGGTGATGATGATGATGAGGCTGATGATGATGATGATGATGATGATGATGATGATGATGATGATGATGATGATGATGATGATGATGATGATGATGATGATGATGATGATGATGATGATGATGATGATGATGATGATGATGATGATGAGATGATGATGATGATGATGATGATGATGAGGAGGAGGAGGAGGAGGAGGAGGAGAGGAGGGAGGAGGAGGAGGAGGAGGAGGAGGAGGAGGGGAGGAGGAGGAGGAGGAGGAGGAGGAGGAGGAGGAGGAAGAGGAGCAGGAGCAGGAGGAGGCGGATGAACAGGACGGCCGTCACATGGTACACCTTTCGTTTTCATTACCGTCACGGTCTTACGGCCTGTGCCGCCGACCCTGAAGGCGGGACTTCCTTTGGGACCCCCGCAGGCGCCCCCCCCCCCCCTTTGGGACCTGCCTGGATCCGGGAGGGGCGGCCCCCCCTCTGTCAGGGAGGAGAACAGGGGAGGGAATCAGCTTAACGATTCTTTGTTCGTTTCCACATTTCCTTGGCTCTGGCGGCGACGACGAAGATGACGACAGCGTCTCACACACGCCGAAGGGTCGGCGGATTTGAGGAGCTCTCATGGAACTCGTTTGTCTTGGGGCTGTCTCGGCCTCCTGCGATGCACTCGTTGGGGGTCCCTGGGGGCCCTCTTGGGCCTTCTCGTGGCCCTGTTACGCCGTCTTGGGGTTAAGGGCGTCTTAGGGCCCTCTTGTCCGTATGGTGGGTGTCTGTGGGCTGTCGGGGGGCGGTTTTGGCGCCGTGTCCAACGGGAGGCCATCTGGGATCGTCTTGGGGCCGTCTTGGATGCCTCTTGGGCCATCGTGGGGTCCTCTTGGACCATCTTGGGGCCCTCTTGGGAGCGTCTTGGGCCGTCCTTGGCCACTGTTGAGGCTCCTTGGGCCGTCTTGAGCTGACGGAAGTCTGGGCAAGGCGAGCTCAACAAATTCGGGTGCCACGGGCCCTGTTGGAGATTCTCTTGTGGCTCTTTTGGGCCCTCTTGGAGGCATGTGAGGGAACCTTGGGGTCTGTTGTCGCCTTCGAGGCAACTTGGGCCGTCTGGATTTCTTTGGTTGCCTGCCTGGGCCGTCTTGGGAGCTCGACGCGGACACGTGCTTTTTTTTGTGTAGGGGATCGTGACTTCGGGGGCGCGGACCGATTTTTTGAACAGGGGGATCGTGGCTCCAGGGGTAGGGGGGGTGCACGGGCGGGTCTGCGAGTAAAGGGTTGGGCCCCCCTCGTTACGATGCAGGAGCCCGAGCAGGCAACACTTGGCATTCTGCCGCGCATCAGCGTGTCAGGGGGCACAGTGGCGGATTGGCTGGCCTTGCCAGTCGCCCATTCTTACAGGGGACAGGGAGGGGGAGCGGGAGCGGGAGCGTGTGCTTGGAGCCCTCCGTCCTTCCCGCTCCCCCACCACCCACCAAGCCACCCGAACCCAACCCGAGGGCCCCAGTTTGCCCCTCCATTCCCAGTGGGGAGTGGGGGCGTCAGGTAGCATTGAAAAAACACATGTTGAACCCGTAACCTCGCGGGCCTAGAGGTTGACACAACACCAATATCGGCGGTGTGCCTCCACCGAGGGAAGAAAATCCCGATCTCGGTGATGGTGATAATATTCTGGCTTCCAAGGTGGCCGAAGTATTACCACCAACAGCGAAATCTAGGATCATCTTGCCCCTGTGGAGACAACCCCCTGTGTTGGTGCTGGTGCCCATTTCCAGGCCCCCCATAAAACCCCCCCCACCCCAGATTTGACTCTTCGGGTCAGGTCGGGATGTTGTGGTAGGTGGTCACTCCCTCCGCCCCCTCCTTCCCTCCCCACCGCCTCCGTCCTCCCCCGCCCCCTCCGCTCCTCGCTCCCTCCGTCCTCCCTGCTCCCTCTTCCTGCCCCTGCGCGCGTGCCAGCGCTGCCAGCGCGCTCTCGCGCCATGGAAACTCGAGCCAGATCATGCCCACCTTGCTGGCATACGGCGTGGGGGTCCCCCTTTCTCTTGGATGCGGAGGGCCGCGGAACCCTGCCTCGATCAGACCGGCCTTGGCCAGACACGAAGCAGGATGCGGGCGGTCCGCGCCGTGTTGATCGGCGGCGACCCCGCCGCCAGACTTCGACTTTGGACGCCACCGGCGACCCAGGATCGGTCGGTGCTGAACGATCCGACGTCTCGGGAACGGCCGATCGTTGAAGGTTGAACGATCCCCGCGGTGTCAGGAATCAACGCCGAAGTCGGCACGACACGAACCTGCCGTAGACGTCTTCGTCGGCGGCGAGGCAGACTGGCCGCACCAGCGATCAGAGCTAAACGGGGGCACCGAGCAGGGAATTGGCCAGCGTGCAGGAGCGTGGAAAGAACGGACAGGGCGGCCGCGGAGGGGGGAGGAGGCGGGGCTACTCAGAGGCGGAAGACTTCCGACCTGAGCATGCTGACGCGGCCGGTCCCGTCAGTGGGAACCATGGCAGCAGCCAGGCCGCAGCGCCGGGGCACCCACGTGCGATGACGGGGCCCAGTACGTGGAGGCAAATACCGCAGTGATACCGTTGGTGAAGTCTGCTAGGTACTAGCACGTCAGGAAAAACGCCGTGAGGCCGCCCGGGTGGGCGCCGAAACTGCGGCTGACCAGCACGGAACTGCCGAAAAGGCGCGCTACCTGCGACAAAATCGTGGCGTAAACCGAGGGGCCACGCGCTGCCGGGGTGGACAGTACGTGGCGGGTCTGGGGGCACCTAACCGACACGGGCTCATGTTAAAGGAAGGGAGGCCGAAGCCGTAGAGAGCCACGCGCTGCCAGGGTGGACAGTACGCAGCCGATCAAGGGGCATCTGACCGGTGCAAAATCGGGTTTGAAAGGTCGAAGCTGAAGAGGTATGCGCCACGCGCCGCCAGGGTGGACGGCACGTGGTGTCTAAGGGCATTTCGGCAGGTGCGATGGGCGATGAGGCGGGCTGCATTTGACACGACTGGGTGCCCCGCACTGTCGGGGTGGACGGTGCGGTGCGGGCCAGCGTGCGCAAATATGTGGCAGGTTGGATGCGCAGGTGCCACGAAGAATGCGGCCGCAGGCCACGTGCTGGCCTGGGAAGGGAGGTCTGAGCTGAGCAGGGGCGGCGATCAGATTGGATCCCCGGCTGGTGAACCTGGTGTTCTGGGGGAGCAGCTTGGGGAAGCTGGTGGTGGGCGAGCAGTGTTGGCTGTCTTGGGGCGGCCGCGGTGCCGAGGCCTTAGAGGCCGGGCAGGCCTGTCGGGTCGGGACGGCGTGGCCTCGACTGCTCGTTGTTGGGCCAGGTGGGGTCGGCATGTCTTTTGCCTTTCCCGACCGAGTCGTGGCCCTTCCTTTTCCCGGGCCTTTGTCTCGCTGCTGTTCGTTGCGCTGCAGCTAGTGTTCCTAGAAAGCCCCCCAGTCCATCTGGACTCCCCGCATCTGGCAGACCTTGAGGATGGCGAAATTTTCGCGGTATAGGTCGTTCGCGAGCTCCTCACAGAAGGCGTCGTGTCCTTCGGGGTTGTAGGTCCTCTTCTTGGTGCCCTGTTGTCCCTGGCGTCGCAGAGGGCGTTCCATCTTTCGACGAAGGACGCGCCGCAGTACCGCTTCAGCTTGTTGACGATTTCAGGCCAGGTCTCGCGGGTGTTGGTTCTGTGGTGCCACGCTTGGTGCCAGGTGATCACCCGTCGGGGCCAAATGTATAGCGCGTCGCTGGGGTCTTCGTGGCGGGCACCGCCGGGATCGGCCCGCGGAGCCCTGTGCCAATCGTGCGCTCCTGGGCCGGCGCGAGCCGGGCCGCCGGTAGAGGAGGAGGCTCCTCCGCTTTGGTAGTTGGCCCAGGGGTTGGCGTGTTCAGTCCAGGCGTGTTGGTGTTGGCGACTGTACCCTCGCCCGGCAGTCCTAGGGGACTTGCGCGCCCGTCCGTCCCCGGGTTCTGCTGCTGCGGCCCGTTCTGTCACTGTCCTGCTGGTGTGGCGGTCCCTGGGCTTGGGTCCACCTGTCTCCGCCTCCACTGTGGCGCTGTCCTTCGCGGCCTGCTCGTGCCGTGGAAGCTGCGCGGCCGTCTGCTCAGCGTGCTCTGGGCCCGTGCTGCTGGCCGCTGCCTGGACATGGTCGCCCGAGTGGGGCTCCTTGTTTCAGGAGAGGCAAAAACACACAGGCACAAGGAATCGCCCACTCCCAGGAAAAGATGTGAAAATATGGGAAGTGGGGGGGAAAGGCAGAAGCCCAGAAAATAAAAGAAAAATAGGGGGAAACTTGTTATTTGTGTCTATTTCTTTGTGCGTCCCTGGGCCGCTTCACTGTTGAGGTCTGCCTGGGAGTCGTGGCCTGCGGCGTCGGCGTCGGGTGAGCAATCGGCCTCCAGCTTGCCGTTTCCGACGGGGGCCTCCGGCTTGGGGTTCGACGGTGCGGCCGGGTTGGCCTCCTGGGCAGGGCGGGGCACGCGCCGCGTGCCCCCTTGCCCCCTTGCGAGGGCGACGTGCACGTTCGACAGGACGGCTGGCCTTTTCGGCGGCCGACGCACGGGCAGCGCACGGGCGACGAATGGGCGACGCACCCATTGTCGCGAAGGGGGTGGTCACCACGCCGGTCGTACTATTGGGCCTGAACAGCACGCGGGTTGCAGAGCTGCCGGGCATGTTCCTCCCGCCGCGCGGCGGATGCGCCTTCTGTTGCTTTGCTGCCCGCGTCTGGGCGAGTGTTGATGGGCTTGTTTTCCACCGCCACCACCATAAGTAGGAGTGGGAGGGTGTCCTCCTCCTCCTCCTCCTCTTCCTCCTCCTCCTCCTCTTCCTCCTCCTTTTCCTTTTCCTCCTCCTCATCCTCCACCTCCTTCCCCCTCCAACTTATGGTGGTGGTGGTGGTGGTGGAAAACAGGCCCATCAAGTGTGCCCTGGGGGGCCTGTGGCTGGGGCGGGGCTTCGGCCGAGGTGGCGGTGCCTTGCAGTGTCCTGCGGTGCCTGTGCCAGGTTCGGGAGATCGGCCCGAGGGCCTGGCGTCCTTGTCGGGAAGGTGGCGCGTCGGGAAAGTTGAAGAGGATCCTTTCGGCATCGGTATGGTCGGTCGGGGGGGGGGGGGGGGCGGCTACGTCGCTCCCTTTCGGTCGGGGGCTCCTGTCCGCGGGGGCGCCGTGCCTGGTGCGGTCTGATGTCTGCCGACTGGGTCCTCTCGTGTGGCTCCGTCGCCGTCGTCGGTCTGGTGGCGGGGTGCGGTCGGCGTCCTCTGGTCGGCGGCTGCCCTGTTCGCTCTCAGGTTCTCCCCTACTCCCTTTCGCTGGCGGATGCCGCGGCAGGCGACTTGGCGCGCGCTGCCAAACCGTCGGTTCCGTTCTCCCTGGGAGTGTGCCGGCTGGCTCCTGCGGTCGGGTCCTCGAGAGGAGGTCTGGTCGCGGTCCTGGGGCCGGCCCTCTCGGCCTTCATGCGACCTTGCCCTCTAATGGGGGGGATGGCTGCGTTCGCGGGGGCGGGCTCCTCCTGGGCCGGCGGCGCGGTCGCGGTGGGGGGGCTTGGCGCGGCCTTGTCTTCGCCATGCCGACTGCATGGCGATTTGAGCCTTTTCTGAACCTGCCGTATGCATGCACCTGCCAAAGTTGCTTGCCTGCCTGGTAGAGGATGCATCCCGTGCAGGCCGCTCGAGGGCATGCGGGGCTGTGGGGGGGCGCTGGCATCTCTCTCTGTCAGCGTCCCTCCTGTCGCTGTTGCTTGAGCGGAGGGGTCTCACCTCCCCCTTTTCCCCCTTTCCTTCCTCCTGTCGTTCTTCTTCTGGCTTTTGGGTAATCGTGAAGTCTTGTGAGGCGTGTGACGGGAGGAGGGGGTCCTTCCGGCCCTATTTCTTCATCTGCCATACGCGATCATCATTAACATCACCATCACCACCATCATTTTCATCATCATCATCGTCGTCGTCGTCATCATCATCGTCACCATCATCAGCATCATTGTCGTCATCATCATCTTCAGCATCATCATTATCACCATCATTATCACCCTCACCATCATCGCCACCATCATCATCATTATCCTCCTTCTCATCCTCTTCTTCTTCATCACCATCACCATATCCTCCATCTTCATCACCTGTCACCAACATCATCGTCACCATCAGACCCTTCACCAACATCACCACCATCATCATAATTACCATCGACCTCATCACCACCGCCGTCGTCGTCGTCGCCGTTTTCGTCGTTGTTATCACCATCGCTATCACCACTCTCACCACCACCATCAGCATCATCATCAACATCATAACCATCTTCGTCTTCTTCATGATCACCGTCACCATCGTTATCGTCTCCACGATCACAACCTCCATCATCACCACCACCATCTACATCACTTCAATCATTATCATCATCACCATCTACATCACTACAAGCACCACCACCATCATCCATCACCATCATCACCACTACCTTCATCACAGTCTTTATCTCTATCTTCACCTTCATCTTCACTACCATCGCCATCACCATCATCATCATCATCAGCAGCAGCAGCATCATCATCATCACAATCATCATCGCCATCATCATCATCATCACCATCACCATCACCATCACCATCACCATCATCATCATCACCATCATCATCATCATCATCATTACCATCACCATCACCATCACCATCACCATCACCATCACCATCACCATCACCATCACCATCACCATCACCATCACCATCACCATCACCATCACCATCACCATCACCATCATCATCACCATCGCCACGACTGTTGTCATGGTGCTCGCTATCATGCATCCGTAGCCATTTTTGTCTCGATGGTTCCTCTGCGGCCATGTCCGATTCGAACCCGAGCCCGATGCCCGCGAGTCGTCCAGCCCAGACCTGAGCCCAAGCCAAGCCCCGAACTCTAGCCCATACGGGTTCGACCCTTACGCCGAGGCGGTCTCGGAGGACGCCCATTCGTACTCGGAGGACGCCGATTCGGACTCGGACCCAGAGGACGCCGATTCGGACCCGGTCTCGGAGGACGCCTGGTCCGCCGATTTGGACTCGAACTCGGGAGACGCGGAGTCGGACGAGTCAGACTCGAAGTGCGAGTCGGACTCGTAGTCTCAGAGGACGCCATCAGGGCTACAACAGCGAAGGAGGACGCCACCAATGCCACCGAGGCTGCACCAGTCAAGGCGTCAAGTACATTACGTATCGATGGGGGCGTCGTCGACAAGTCGAACATCGGAACGTTGGAAAACTGCGAGCATGTTTGCCTGAAGGCGGCCGTTGGCTCTTCCGCTTCCAGCAATGCCAATGGGACCTCCTCCCTCGCCCTCCCTTGCCCCGCTCTCTCCTCCCCCGGCCCCTGCCCCCGCCCTTTCCGCCCTGCCCCTCCCCTCCTCTCCCTGGTCCCTCGTTCCCTCCCCCCCCCCGTCCGCCCCTCGCCTCTCCCTCCTCCCTCCCCTCCCTCCCTCCCTCGCTTGCCTCCTGCCCCTCCTCCTCCCTCCTCCCTCCTCCCCTGCTCCCCCCCCGTCCGCCCCCCTGCTCCGAGGCTCCCCTCCGCGCCGGCGCTCCCGCCCCGATCGCGCGGGTCTGCCGGCGTCGTGCCGGCGCCCGCGCAGGAGCACCAGGTGACGCACCTGTGCGGCGCGCCGATCGTCATGACCGCTCTGCTCGCGCACGGCGGCCCGAGGCCGCCGACCTGCCGCCCGCGCGCCGCGCGCCGCGGCGGCGGATCCTTCGCGCCTCGTCGCCGACGTTCGGGGGGCGTCGGCTGTCCACCTCGCCGATCCTGATCTTCTGCCGGGCACGGGTGTACTTCCAGGGGCACATCTGCAGTGGAGACCCATGCCGAGAATCGCCCTGCTCGCCTCCAGGGTGCCCTGGGTTGGGTCTCGATGGTTTTGTGCAGGAGAGCGTGATGTTCACACCAAAAATCAGCGGACGTCCTGGGGTCGAGCTCCTGCTGTAACAGCAAGGATGGCGGCCAGCCGGTTTGCGTATGGTAGCGGTGTTGTCCTAGTTTCCACGCTGCCTCCAGTGGCTTGTATTGTCATTGGCACCCGTGGTGCTCCAAGCGGGCATCAGTGGCCTCCTAGGAAGCACTCCATATACCATTCGCAGCCAGTACAGCATATCTGGGATCTGTTCTTTTCATGCGTATGAGTCGCACTGGAGCGCATTTTCATAGCCTCCTTGCCATAACGCGCGTTATCCCTACCCCCAATAACGTAGCATTCCCCCCTTTCCCCCCGTGGTGCGCCTCGGGCACTGCAATTGAGATGCTCGCAGGCTACTGTGGTGCTTGCAGGCTACTTTAACAACGTTCGTCGTCGTGTCCGCGGGCCTCGCAGGGCCTGCTGACGCTTCCCAAGGCCTCCAGAAATCTCCTGAGACCTCGGGAGACATTTGGATAACTTCAGTGGAGGCCGTCGTCGTCGTCGTCGTCATCGTCGTCGTCGATGTCGTCGTCTTCGTCGTCGTCGTCGTCGTCAGCGTCGTCGTCGTCGTCGTCGTGGTTGTCGCTTTAGTCGTCGTTATCGTCGTCCTCGGTCTCGTCGTCATCGTCGTCCTCGTCCCTGTCGTGGTCGTCATCGTCGTCGTCGTCCTCCTCGTCCTCGTGGCGGTCCTCGTCGTCGTCGTCGTCGTCGTCGAGGGCCCCGAAGGGTCTCCAGACGCCTCCAGAGGTTTCCAGAGACCTCCTTAGGCTTCCGGAGACCTCCAGAGACCTTCAGAGGCGGCCGTCGTCGTCGTCCTCGTCGTCGTCGTCGTCGTCGTCGTCGTCATTCTCGTCGTCGTCCTTGTCGTCGTCGTCGTCGTCGTCGTCGTCGTCGCTCTTATCGTCGTCTTTGTCCTTACATTCGTCGTCGTCGTCGTCCTCGTCCTCGTCCTCGTCCTCGTCCGTCCTCGTCGTCGTCGTTCCAGTCCTCGTCGTCGTCCTCGTCCTCGTCGTCGAGGGCTTCGAATGACCTCCAGACGCCTCCAGAGGTCTCCAGGAACCTCCCTCCAGAAACCTCTGGACACCTTCAGGGGTGGCTGTCACCTTCGTCCTCGTCCTCGTCGTCATCGCCGTCCTCGTCCTCGTCCCCGACTCGTCCCCGTCCTCGTATCGTCCCTGTCGTCGTCGCCACCGTCCTCGTCGTCGTTGTCGTCCTCGTCCTCGTCGTCGTCGTCGTCGTCGTCGTCGTCGTTGTCGTCGTCGTCTTCGCCGAGGGCCACGAAAGGCCTTGAGACGCCTCCAGGGGTCTCAGGAAATCTCCTTAGGCCTCTGGAGACCTCTGGACACCTTTGGAGGCGCCCGTCGTCGTCGTCGTCGTCGTCGTCGTCGTCGTCGTTCTCGTCCTCGTCCTCGTTCTCGTCGTGGTCGTCGTCGTCGTCGTCGTCCTCGTCTTCGTCCTCCTCTTCCTCTTCCTCGTCTTCGTCCTCCTCTTCCTCGTCCTCGTCCTCGTCCTCGTCGTTGTTGTCATCGTCATCGTCGTCGTCGTCGTCCTCGTCGTCGTCGTCGTCGTCGTCGGCGCCGTCGTCGTCGTCGTCGTTCGTCGTCGTCGTCGTCGTCGTCCTTGTCGTCGTCGTGGTCGTGGTCGTCGTTGTCGTCGTCGTGGTCGTCGTCGTCAGGCGCTTGGGCGCCCTCGTCGTCCAGGAAACACCAGCAGACAATCATGCTCGAAGGAGGGTGTGGTGGAACAGACACTGTAGTGCTGCACGTATGTACTGCGCAGTACATAGGCGATGTGGTGCACGCGGCTGCGGAGGTGCATACTGCGCTTCTCACTGCGATGCTTGCTGTGATGCGTACAGGCGCTGAGGTGCCAGACGCACACGTTGGGGGGGGGGGGGGGGGCGTTACGTTATGCCCCTCTCCGCCGTTCCCCCATACGTCTGTTATGGCCGCGCATATAAAAACGCGCTCCTGGTACCGTCGCTCTTCATCGACAGGACTTACTGCCGAACACTGGCCACATACGTCTCGCCTCCGAACGTTCTCTTGCTGCTGAGTCAGTTCAGATATTCATGCCAACTGTCATTTTATTTTGACACCTTCTATCGCCTGGGAGTGCAGAGCAAACAGGCAAGGCAGTAGGCTGCTATGGGAGGCCCGTGTGCTCATGCAATATCCGTGTCGACCGCCCCTGGTGTCTCGCGAATGGGGGCGGGATTCCAGCAAGCCAATCGGTCGCCTGGCAGTCCCTAAGGGTGGAAGAATTCACAGATATTGCGTTCCCCTGTCCCTGTGTCCTGGAAATGCGGCTCCAGGAGCGTTGGATGTCGTAGTCGATCGGTGTCGTAAGTTCTCTTGTGCCTAATGGCCTTCGGCCCATCTCGCCACCGTGCCTGGGTGTGCGTCTTGGGTCTCTAGGATGTTCGTTGGGATGTCGCGGGAGGCCTCTCGGGGACCTCGTGGAGGCAGTCTTGAGGCTTTTTGGCGGCCGTTTTGGGTCTCTTGGGGCATCTTGAAAGCTTCCGGGGGGCCTTTTGGGGGCCTCTTGGAAGCCTCTTGGAGCTTCCTCGGGGTCGCTGGGGTGTCTTTCGGGGCCTCTCGGGGGCCTCTTGGGTCGTCTTGAGGGCCTCTTGGGGGGGAAAGCTCGAGTTGTCGGTTCGGGCTCCCCCTCTTGGGCCTCTTTCGGGGCCGTCTTCGGGCTCTCTTGGGCCGTCTTGGGCGCCTCTTGGGCTGTCTTGGGACCCTCTTGGTGAAGCGCTATGTGGATAAGGACGGGCGCTACAGTCTTGCCTTTCTCTCCCCATCCAGTCCCCTGGCTTCTGGGACCAGCTGGAAGCTGCAATCCTGGCGATCCCATCAGTCTGGATCGCCGATGGCGAGCAGGTGGCGCTGAGCAACACGGTGGTGGCATGGACAGCGCTCATTGCTTATTTCTATCTGGGCTCGCGCTTCAAGCAAGTGCACTACACCAGTTGTTTGTTGATCTTGATGTCTTGCGTGGTCGCTTTAAATGTCCAGCTTGCGTCTGAAGGCCTTCCGGAGCCAGTGGCTTCAGATGGTCGCGCCATCGAAACGAGTACTGGTGTCATGGCCATCACATACTTGGTTTGTCTCATTGGTGTCGTTTCCTCGGCCGCGAGCGGCTGTTACAAGCAGAAGATGAAAAAGGGTGTCGACCTGGACTTGATGTGGGCCACCTTCTGGTCCGGCAACTTCCAGGTGCTCTGTGGTTTCCTCATGTACGGGATCAATCGGAGTCCGTACCCCGTGCCTGGCGGCACAAACGTCCAGTCGCTTGCGATGCTCGGTTCAGATCTGGCCGGCTCGTGGGCCTGCTTCACAGGTCACGTGCCAACGCCTGCTCAAATCTCTTGCACCACCGACTCGGCGTGGCTCTGGTTCATCTGGTTCCTCTTCTTCAATGTGTTCTTCGCTCTGTTGACGTTGTGGCTGACTGAGTACCTCTCTGCGACGTGGGCCTCCATCGGGAACGTGCTGTGCGGAGACCCGTTCGGCATCTTCGGCAAGTTCGGTTTCGTGAGCGGCAGCGCCTCGCGGGTGCTGCCCCTGGCTCAGTGGTTGTCTTCGGCGCTGTCGTCGATGGCCATGTGGGCTTACAGCACCGAGGATGAGGTCAATGCTGACGGTCAGGTAGTCTACGGGGTGCCGAACGACAGTAAAACGGGGGCGGAGGGGGTTGCATGTTGCGAAGCGATCTGACCTACTCTGCCATGCCGCGGCAGGATGTTGCGGGGCTTGGGCCACGCAGATCGACTTGTCTGCTGTGACTTGGTGTGGTCTGCACAGCTGCGCGCCCGGGCATTGGCGTGTCACAAACACACGTTTGTTTGCATGTTTTGCATCGTTTGTGCTGGGATCGGTTGCCACAGCTCCACTGCTCTGAAAAGCGGCGGAATCTGCGACATCCCGCACGTTTGATCATGCGGGTTTTGGGGGATGTGTGCCTACAGCGTGCCCTGCCGCGTCTCCCAAGCCGCGGTTCATCGCATCAACTCGCACATGGCAGGCTGTCTCGTGCGGACTCCCATGTCCTGTTGCCGGTTGTTCTTTCCATGCTGCGGTGCTTGCTGGCTTGGCTCATCCCGTTCAACATGTGCAGGGTTCAAGGCTTTTGGGTCTGCGTTCTCGGCATGCGCACCCGTTACCGACGCTCAGGGGCAAAAATTATCCTGGCGAAGGACCCAGTCATGCAGTTTTGAGTACCGCAGTTGTGGGTATCGCCTTCGGTGGAGCTCCCTATTGGCCACGAAACGTTGTACTGGGTGGGGAGACCCACGTGGACATCGCCACTGGGACCTTAGGTGGAGCTCCATCTGGGTCCACGAAACGCTGTGCTGGATGGGGGAGACGCACGTGGACACTGCCACTGGGGCCTTAGGTGGAGCTCCCTATGTGGCCACGAAGCGCTGTGCTGGGTGCGAGAGACGCATGTGGACACCGCCACTGGGACCTTAGGTGGAGCTCCCTATGGGGCCACGACACGCCGTACTGAGTGGGGGAGACGCATGTGGACACCGCCGCTGGGACCTTCGGTGGAGCTCCCTATGGAGCCACGAAGCGCTGTGCTTGGTTGGGGAGGCGCATGTGGACACCGCCGCTCGGACCTTAGGTGGAGCTCCCTATAGGGCCACGGAACGCCGTATTAGGTGGGGGAGACGCATGCGGACACCGCCACTGGGATCTTAGGTGGAGATCTCTATGTGGCCACGAAACGCTGTGCTGGGTGGGGGAGACGCATGTGGACACCGCCACTGGGGCCTTAGGCGGAGCTCCCTATATGGGACCACGACGCGCCGTAATGGGTGGGGGAGACCCATGTGGACACCGCCACTGGGACCTTAGGTGGAGCCACCCTTGTGGCCACGAAACGCTGTACTGGGTATTGGAGACGCATGTGGACACCGCCACTGGGACCTTAGGTGGAGCTCCCGATGGAGCCACGACTCGCTGTGCTGGGTGTGGGAGACGCACGTGGACACCGCCGCTAGGACTTTAGGTGGAGCTCCCTATGTGGGCACGGAACGCCGTGCTGGGTTGGGGAGACGCATGTGGACACTGCCACTCGGACCTTAGGTGGAGCTCTCTATGGAGCCACGATGCGCTGTGCTGGGTGGGGGAGACGCATGTGGACACCGCCGCTGGGACCTTAGGTGGAGCTCCCTATGGGGCCACGACACGCCGTACTGGGTGGGGGAGAACGCATGTGGACACCGCCACTGGGACGTTAGGTGGAGCTCCCTGTGGAGCCACGAAGCGCTGTGCTTGGTTGGGGAGACGCATGTGGACACCGCCACTGTGACCTTAGGTAGAGCTCCCCATGGGGCCACGAAAGGACGCACTGGGTGGGGGAGACGCATGTGGACACCGCCACTGGGACCTTAGGTGGAGCTCCCTATGGAGCCACGAAGCGCTGTGCTGGGTGTGGGAGACGCACGTGGACACCGCCACTGGGACCTTGGAGCTCCCTGTGGGGCCACCAAGCGCTGCGCTGGGTGGGGGAGACGCATGTGGACACCGCCACTGGGGCTTTAGGTGGAGCTCCCTATTTGTTGGGCCACGCAGCGCTGAGCGGGGTGGTGGAGACGCATGTGGACACCGCCGCTGGGGCTTTGGGTGGAGCTCCCTAGTTATTGGGCCACGCGGCGCTGTGCTGGGTGGGGGAGACGCATATGGACACCGCCATTAGGACCTTAGGTAGAGCTCCCTATGGAGCCACGAAGCACTGTGCTTGGTGGGGGAGACGCATGTGGACACCGCCACTGTGACCTTTGGTGGAGCTCCCTATGGGGCCACGAAACGCCGTATTGGGTGGGGGAGACGCATGTGGACACCGCCACTGGGACCTTAGGTGGAGCTCTCATTCATTGGGCCACGAAACGCTGAGGACATGCGCAGGGCAGAGGTAGGGACGGGAGGAGGGAGGAGGGGAGGAGGAAGGAAGGAGGGAGGGAAGGAGGGAGGTAGGGAAGGAACGCGGGGACCGTCTCTTCAAAACGAGGACCCAACACCACAGGATGGTTGGGAAATACTATTCCCAGCAGTCCGAAGCTGGGAGTTTGCCATTCATTCAAGCGAGGTCCTGCGCAGCTTTCATCGCATGCTTGCGCTGTCGCATCGGCGACGCCCAGGAGCCCGCGCGCATTTTCAGCTTACGTCCCACCATCTCGGCTCAAGCTTGAGATGGTGGATGGCGCGCCTGCTGTGAGAGTCGCGCGCCGACTTCGGGCGGACGCCGACTCAATGTCGACGCGCGAGCACGCCGGCGCGCATGATGAGGGGTTTGACATTGACCTGGGGCAGCAGGCGTCGTCCGCTGCCTCGGATGACTTGGAGCGGCACTTGTCGCCCGCCTCCACGATGCGCAAGGCCTGGAAGATGGCCGCGCCTGGCGCGCGGAAGGGTGATTTTGACGCCAAGCGCCGCGCCAATTTCGCCTGGCGGCAGCTCAACCTCAACGGCGGATCGCGCAAGCGGCAGCGCTACATCGCCCACCTGCCAGCCTACAGTGACGGCCTCCTGGGGGCCAGCCACACGGACATGGAGAGCCTGGTGCCAGTGCGGCCGGAGGAGGAGAAGCTCCCGTGTTTCTTGCAACGCGCTAGCCGAGCGAAGGCTGGTGGACATGCGTTCTGGCCCGTGGCCATGACGTCTATCTGCCTTGGGGCGGCGGTGGTGGTGCCATACATTTCCTTTTTGAGGCGCGACCCTGGAGGAGTGCTCTTCTTCAGCTTCGTCGTTCACGTGATGATCGTGTTAATGCACCTGCCTGCTGCTGGCGCGCTCATACGGAGGAGGCAGATTCCTATCCCCTTCCATGCTGCCATGGCAATCTTTTGGTGCCTTTTCACTACGCTCAAGTCCGACGCCTTTGTTCGGATGCCCACATCTCTGTGCGTACTTCTCAGCAACATGAGGATGATGGTCGGGATGGTGGTGCAGGTCTGCCTTTTCGGCAAGCGTTTCTCTCGCTCTCAGGTGCTCGGTGCGGCCATCGCCACCGCTGGTATTGCCACCGCAGGCAGCGCCATGCAGCAGGCGAGCGCACCTGCGAAGAGCAGCGGGCCGTCCATTTCAGTGAGCTTCCTCATCGGGCTGGCGGAGATGCTGGGCTCCTCGCTCTGCCTGTCGCTGCACAGCTCCACCATCAAGGTCGCATGGCCCCCCTGAGCTGCGAGAGATGCCCCCGACACGCCCCGCAGACGGGCTGACGGCGATGTGGGCAACGGCGATGTAGGCTTCGGCAGTGCGGGAGCGCTTGGCTCGCGTCCTCTTGGGCAACAGCTCGCGGCGCCGTGCTCGCTCGATCCATTCGCAGGTTGGACCTGCAGGAAAGTGTGGTTCGTGGCTAACTGCGCTTGGGTTCCCGGCATCACCGCTGAGCCATATCGCCGTTAGCCCGGCCCTGGACGCCACGCGGCCAGCATCGGTGGTTGCCAGGTGCCGCGACACGCCTGCCGACGTGACATGCGCCGCGCGAGAATGGCCCCACGGGGGGCCGGGCCGTCCGCCCCCAGCGACCTGTGCCGTGTGGGGGGTGCCAGTGTGTGTGTGTGAGTGTGTGTGAGAGAGAGAGAGAGAGAGAGAGTTCGATCGGTTTTTGCACCACCGAACCGCCCAAAACAGATGCCCCCGCCGGCAGCTCCCGATAGTTGCCGATGGGTGGGGCAGGGGAGGGGGCATCTGTTTGTGGCAGTTCGGTGCGCCAGCGGATCGAATTCATGTCCCCCCTCAGGGTCATCCCCCTTTTGGTGGATCCCGAGTCTGGTGGGGCCCAGGTCGAGTTTGGTCTTCTGGGACATTTTGGCTTCGGGGTTTAGCCGGGGTGTGGTCATAGAACAAGCGATCAATCTAGGCCTCCTAGATGGGGTCCGAGTAGGTGGGGTCGGAAGACCGCGCCGCATCGCCGATGCAACGGCGATGCATCAGCGATGCATCAGCGATGCATCAGCGATGTCGCTCGATGTGGGGCCCAATTTTCTCCACGCCGACGTCACCGATGCATCGCCGACGTCGCCAGTGCATGGCCAGAGCATCGCCGATGCATCGCCGATGCATCGCCGATGTATCGGCGATGCGGCGCGATCCTCGGACCTAATCTACTCGGACCCCATCGAGGAGGCCTCTAATCAAGGTAGTCTTCTCCAAGTACGGGGAGTGCGTCGAGGAGCAGGTCTTCGTGACGCACCTGGTTGCGCTGCTGGTCGTCTTCCCCAGCCAGTGGGATAAGGTCGGCCCCAGGATCACCAAGATGGCGGCGACGCTAGACTGGGGCCTGCTGCTCAATCTGACAGCTGGCGTTCTCTTCAACGTTGTATCCAGGCGGGCTGGCGCCCGGCTGGCAGGACGGGCGCCCAACCTGCTGATGGCGCAGCTGGTGCAGACGGTGGACGGCTTCGTGCAGCTGCTGCTGGCCTCCCTGCTGAACGCGCCGCCGTATCCGCCGACGGGCTTCTGGAGCTCGGAGGGCACCAACCACACACCTGCACTTACAAAAATCCGAGGTTCGCTAGGGACTGGCTTCCCCCTAAAACGACGGAAACCCTTCCAAACTCTCCCGAGACCCTCCGAAAAGCCTCCAAGGACCTTTCCCGGAGGGTTTTCGAAAGGGTTCGGGAGGGTTTCAGCGGTTCGAAAGGGAGCGAGTCCCCAGCGAACCCTAGACTTTTTTTGAACCTGCACCGATCCTGGCCAGGGCAATCCCAGGCCCAGTATCGGTGTCTATGCCCTCCTGCCCCAGGCAGGAGGGCGCATACACTTGTGGAGGGCGATCAATGGAGAGGAAGCGTGTTGCCAAATACGTTCCAGACGTCTAAAACATGTATCACACATGTTTTAAACATGTCAAACACATGTTTGAAACATGTTTGGGACATTTGTCCTACACTTGTAAGCACAGTTTGAACTCCATGATAGGACTGTTAGGGTGCCCACCGTCGTGGCATCCACAAGCGGACACACCGATCCTGGGCCCGGGGCGATCCCGGCCAGGATCGGCGTGTGCACAGGCGCATGGCTCGGGCAGGGCGAAAGGGGGGGATTGGGAAAGGTGGGGTTACGGTAGGTTTGCTGCAGGCAGCTGGTTTCGGCCTCACCGAGGGGACCATTTCTCGATACATAGCCGCCTCCGGCGCCAGGAGGCGCCGGGAAGATCAGCTACGTGAGCTGATCCTCACCCCCCCCCCTTTTGCTATCCCCCCCCTTTCGCCCGACCCGCATGGCCGGTGCCCTCCCAGGAGCGGCGCCGCGGGGCTCCTGCTGGGCACGCTGCAGTACCTGCGCGCCTCCGACGCCCCCCCCGACGGCAGCTCCCCGTCGCACTCGCCGTCGGGGTCGGAGGACGAGGCCCCGCTGGCGCCCGTGGACAAGTTCGGGAGCCCGCTGCAGGCCGCCTGGGCCAGCGCCACGGCGGCGGCCAAGCACCGGAGGCGACGAGCAGGGCGAATGGCCCATCGCTTGGCATCGCTCGGACGTGTGCATTTCTCCTTCGGCGAGAACCATCGAGGAGCATCCTTGATCACTTGGCGAAAGAAACACGCACGAAACCGAAAAAAGCACAGGGAATGGACGTCCGAGCGATGGCGAGATCGTGGAGGCTACAAGAGCCCCTGACCCTAGAATCGGGGGCGGCAACGAGGGGGGTGATGACTAGGGGGGGGTGGATATCATGGCGGGGGCCATGATATTTCCCCAGATTTCATGGCGCCTCTTCCTGTTTCATTACGTCCCTGGCCCCCCCGCTGGGCCGCGCACATGCCGCCGGTCATGATTTGCACCCCGCCCCCTCTTGGACACCCCCTTCTTGGCCGCTCCCGACATTGAGGATACAAGAGCGCCTGACCCTGAAAGCACGATGACGCTGTGGCCTTTGCCGAGGCCCCCGTCTTCGCATCAGGGATCACAATTCTGGGCGGTTTGCCTCGATACACCTGCAGGTAAGGCCCCCTGTCCCTGGTGCTCCTGGCCCTCATAACTTGGGTCCCCTCCCGTGGGGTTAGGGGTCCTTTTTTGGTCAATCAGGCCAGGGGCGGGCGTTGCACGTATTCGCCCGGGAGCCTCGCTGACGGCATGGACCATCGGCGCCCCTGGATACATGTATCGTTCGAAGAAGAATACACGGCATAGACATACCTTTTTGGCGATCCGCGCGGAGCGACAAAAGTTTATGCCTATGCTGCTTTTCTTCCTCTCATTGCTCTCCCCTGTGCTATTCGCCCCCATCGTCGCCCCCGAAAGCACCAGGGTGTGGGGTCCACCGTCGCTGCGCGCCAGGAGAACAGGGCCTGGCGGAAGATGCGGATGGAAGAGCGAGCCCTGCAGTTGTCCCGCGACTACCCAGGGCAGTAGGCCAGGCGTGTACCTCGCAGCAGTGGTACTCTGATGGGCCCTGTTGCCCAGGCTTGTGCTAAGCGATGCTAGCCAGCGTGGGCCCAATGCAGTGTGTCGCTAGCAATACATTTTGTGCAATATATATATATATATATGTATATAGATGGTGCACGGTTCGTTGTGCAAGATACGTGGTGCAATCTATGCGGTGCACTATGTGGTGCAATTTCGAATGGCTTTCGGCCCATCCCGCCACCGTGCCTGGGTTGTGGGCATGAAGCCCATTTGATGTTCGTTGGGATCTCGTGGGAGACTTCCTCGGGGGCGTCTTGGAGGCAGTTTGGACGCCTCTTTGGGGCCGTTTGGGGGCCTCTTGGGGCCTCTTTTGGGCTTCTTGGGGGTCACATCAGATTTCGCGGGCACCGCATCAGCCAGGGCACCTCGATAGGCCATCACATACGTAGAGCAAAACCATCTCGGCGAACAAAGCAAAGGAAATAGGAGTGGAGGCTCCGTGGGTCCCCGTCTGTGACAAGCACGGAGAGGTTCACCCCAGTGGCGAGATCGTGCAGCCGTTCTTGCAATGCGATGGTTGATTAGTCGTTGCCTCTATCTCAGTTGCCCTCGTATCCACTGGTATCAGTACCGTGGACTCGACCTGCGTTGAAGGTGAACCTTCCCGAAGGTTCACGCGCAGGCTTGCAGGCATCGCTCTTGTCGTCAGGTCATATCTGGATTTGGTTTCAGTTTTCATTATTAGGCATGATATTCATCTGGCCATCTTCCTCAGTCGTTATTGTGCAAGCCTGGGTACAAAGGTATTCCACATGAATGGGGGACGGGCATGTGATAAGTCTGGGCTCTTCGTGTATCCCCACCAGTCCATCCAGGAGCAATGCTCAGGGAACATCGACAAGCGTACACATGTATGCATCCACATATGTGTTTATATGTTTGTGTGTGTGTGAACCGCAGACAGAGGCCACCAGTGTTGATGTGGCCCGTCTGGAAGCCCCTGAGTCCTCCTGGGGCTCTAGTCCTCTTTGGGCTTTTTTTGGGTCCTCGGGTGCCCTGTTGGGACCATCTCGGAGGATGCCGATCAAAGCAGGTCGAGGATGAGGTTCACCCCCGCCTGTCGGAGTCTGACCACTCGCCTCTTGGGGCCCGTCTTGGGGCGCTCTTGGGGCTCTCCTGGGCTCTCTTGGAGCCCCCCTCAATGGCCCTTCTTGGACCTGTCTCGGGCGCTCTTGGAACCATCTTGTTTCTTCAGACAATTTATGCCGCGAAGGGGCGAGCATGCACACATCATTGAACTACCCTGAGCTATTGAAGGGTTTTGGCATCTTAGGGGTATCCTTTTGGGGATCCGTGGCCTCTTCCAGCCTTGTCTTGTCGGTCTTGAATCCTCTCAGAGGCATGCTGGATGCCATCTTGAGCCATCTTGGATTATCTTGCGCTGCCTTGGAGATCATCTTGTTCTACAGTCAACCCGCATAGTAGGGATGGACAACCTTCCCAAGGGTACCCTTGCAGCCTTGCCCCTTCGGCACATCCTCAGCGACTCTCGCTGGCCAGCCTCGTTCGAAAAACGCGAACCTGGCCCTCCAAGGTCCTCGTTGACTGTTTCTTTGGCCCATGTTGAAGCTATCCTGGGCCTTCCTGAATGCCCCAACTCCTCGCGGAGCCTCTGCACACGATCTTAGGGGAAGGGATATGGGGGCAGGGCTCAGCGCCTCCCCGAAGCAGACGAGCTGAGCATTGGAAGAAGGAGCTCTCCAGACCACCCAAGCAGGGCTCGTCTCGACTCCTCCGGTTTCGGTTCGATTCGGTTTCGACGGGTTCCGATTCCGATTCGGTTCGGCTTCGGATTTCGGTTGGGGATCCGATTTCTCAATGGAGGCCTGCTGGAGCCCGTTTCTTTATTGCTTGGGGCATGACGGGCGTCATGGCCCCCGCTCCCCCCCCACAATGACGCAACGCTTCCCCCCCCAGTGCGCTCGGAGCACTGCCGCCGTGCGCATTGGGATCCGCGTAGGTGTCCGCGTAGGAATCCGCATAGCAGTCTGGTCCGCAGTCGTCGTCGTCGTCGTCGTCGTCGTCGTCGTCGTCGTCGTCGTCGTCGTCGTCGTGGCTCGTGGCTCGTGGCTCGTCGCTCGTCGCTCGTCGTCGTCGTGCGCGCGGACGCTGCTGGAGCCTTTTTTGCATTCTGGGCCGATGACGGCAATCATCTGGATGGGTGGGTGGAGGGGATCGATGACGTCACGTTTCGCACCGGCGGCGTTTGGGAATGCTTAGGAAGGGCGGAGGACGGGTAGCACCAGCATGTTGGTGTCGATCTGCACCACAGCGCCTGTACACACCACAGTGCCTGCGTGCACCACAGCGCCTGTGTACACCACACCGCCAATGTACACCACAGCAGCCGCGTGTACACAGCGTCAGTTTGTTCCACCGTGCCTGCGGGCACGACAGCTCTTGTGTACACCACAGCGCCTGCGTACACCGCATCAGCCGTGTGTAACACAGCACCGGTGTACACCACAATGCCTGCGTGCACACGGCGCTTGTGTGCACCACAGCAACCGTGTGCAACACAGCACCACTGTTGTATATTTAATGTTAGAAGGAATCCTTATTACAAAATGGAGCGCTTGTGTATTCCACAGAAAACAATATAAAGGAATCCTTATGGACAGCGGAGCGCCGCCGGAATCTACGAGTCCTCCCGATTTCGCCCGCATCACCCTGATTCCTCCCATCTGCGTCCAGGAGGCTCCAGCTCAATTGGCCGTCCGAGAACCAAGTGGACCGATTCAATAGACCATTCTGCGGTGCACGCTGAGATGCGCACGTGCGCTGTAGCGCCAACCCGCACGACAGTGGGTGAGGAGGAGGAGGAGGAGGTGGCGGAGCTGGAGGAGGAGGGAGGAGGGAAGAACGTCGCATTCGATTATCAGCACTTTCGTGGCGTTGCGTCTGGTTGTCCGCAGCATATCCTCACGCAGATGCTCCCTTCCACCTGTCCTATGCACGCAGGCACTGAAGTGTAAACCAGCGCTGCGTTGCAAGCGGATGCTGTGGTGTAGACCAGCGATGTGGCATGCACAGACGCTGCGGTGCACGCAAGCATTGTTGTGTGCACAGGCGCTATGTTGCACATGGATGCTGCGGTGTACACATGTACACCGGCGCTGTAGTATACGCGGCTGCTGTGGTGTACAGAGGCGCTGCGTTGCACGCTGTTGTTGCGTTGTACGCAGGCGCCGTGGTATACACGCGCGCTGTGGTGCACGTGAGCGTTGTGGTGTGTGTACTCAGGCGCAGTGGGGCATATCGCCACCTGCATGCTGCTCGCGTCGTCGTCGTCGTCGTCGTCGTCGTCGCTCGTCGCTCGCCGCTCGTCGCGTCGTGCGCGCGGGCGCCTGTGGTGCCAGAGCCACACGGCGGCGGGGGCGTTGCGTCATGCCCCCCCCCCCCGCCCCCCTCCCATGACGCCCGTCATCGCCGAACACAAAGAAACGCGCTCCTGGCCTGCCGATTGTCTGTCGATGCGACTTTTCCGACTCGGCAGCCGATTTCCGCCGATCCGAGTCATTTCGATCGCCGATCCGGCTTATCGACTCTGGGTTCTTTTGCCACCTATGCCCAGAGGGCTGGTGGGATTTAGAAGTTGGCGAGTGCTGTCGATGGCAGTGCGACCCTCGCGACTTCCGCTGGTCCAGGCATCGAGGCAGTTTGCTTCATATCCGATGCCGTTTGACAGATTGTTATCTCAATTGTGGTTGGTGAGTCTTTGTGTGCATACACTTGGCGGTGGCGTGGATCAGCTAAATACCAGTACAGTGCTTCGAGGTCTGTCCCTTGCATGCTTGTTCTTTTATGGTGGGCGAGATGACCTTGCTTGAGCGGTTCATTCCAGCGCTCGTTTCATTACAGTTGATTTCAGAATGTTAGATTTTGTTTCCCGCTAGAATGTTATTCACCCGACATTTATTTTCGCACGGTGTCAAAGACACGTGTTGGTGACTCAGTCGGAGGTCCACCAGAGAGAAATGTGATCTTCGTAGTGCGCGATGGGGCCAATTACGTAGGTCTTCTATAATTTCAGGTGGCATTTGCACCTCGCAGCTGTATTCGACTACAGGTTTGGTGTCATTCAAAATGAAGCGTTTGATGGATAGTTGCTGTTGTCATCAGAGGTGCTGTTGCGCGTCATTATGGTGAGCTGCACTCAGTTGCTTCCGGAACCTTTCTGGGTATTTCCGACGATTTGTCAGCGATCACATGTTGTCCTCATTTACCCCAGGGTTTCGCAGCGTTTCCTTAAACTCGGGGGTAGAACCATTGCATGGAAGAATTGTAGTCGAATGTCTTGATGAGAGGAACGCTCACCAGCGACCGTGAGTGGGACGCTCCCCAAAACGTGCACCACGTGAAGTTATGACAAAGTAAGTGTAAATTTCCATCTACGCACACACACATATATATATATACACCATACGTTCTGTCGGACGCTCCGGTTCTGCAGTATGGATTATTCGTGGGACCACAGATCAGACGAAGCTCGTGTAGCTGCCTGTTTGTCCCGTAAGGCTGTGCTCCGGCACGCTCGTACAAGAGTTTCACGGTCTATGCATTTTCCGCCGCCTGCGGCTTCTTTTGCCCCCTCCGCGCCTGTCCTGCTCCTGTTGTTCGTACTTTAGTCCCGAAGCGTCCCTCGGCTGCCCCGACCGCATCTTGGACCCAAGTCGCCGCTGACAAAAAAGTATGTCCTGCCGGTGAGTCGCAGTGACCCGTCCGGTCCTCTCCAGAAGCCGTCGTCTCCTCGTGTGGCTCCCAGCGAGATTTGGTGCGTGCGGTAGGCTTGGAGGGTCCCCCTGGGCCCCTGGGCGGCGGCAGCGGTGGCAATGTTGCCCCCAAGTGCCAGCATTCCAGGGCCCCCTCGTCGTAATCTCCACGCCAGCGCAAGTGTAGTGCCACCAGCACAGGTGATACTTGAGGTGACGTAGTAGCTCAAGCGCGTTCTTGTTTGCTTTTGTTCGTGTTGCTGTT